CGGCATAGAATCTTTAAAATACATCCGGGAGTTTTACACACCGGTCTGATATTGTGGCGACATTTCCACGCCCCGAAACGTGACGCTGAATGAAACGAACTGTGATTGGTTGTTTGACATGTTGGTCAAACGGCCTCATGGGCGGGCCTTGGCCAATGAAAGCTGCCATGGATTCCAGACCTTCAGCCGTCAGTCTGAAGGTCTGGCTATGTGAGACTACATTTTATTTAACTTTAATGCTGTATATCAGAGCACTGGCTACTGCCTACAGAGGTTGCCTACTTTTGACTGATTTGCCTAGCAACTTGATGGCTGTTGTTGTTGTTTATTAAATATTATTATTAAATAAAAATGTTATGTAAATAATAGTAGTGTTTAAAAATAGTATTTAGTTTTGAGAAACGTGTGTTATTTTTAAATGGTGTGGTGATTTTGGATAAATTGTTCCGCCATTAGATGGCGACGAGAGACAGTTTTTATGAGTGAATCAGCAGTAAAGACTTTTATATTGAAAGGGTCTGAAACAGGGTTGTAAACAAGGAAGTTAATTTTACTTTCAACAACACCTTGTAAGAAGCAGTGAACAGCGCTGTCATCGGAAATCACCCTTGACAGATGAAAGGATAGTATGACAAAAATATATTTTGCTCAACACACATTCAAACTAATGTTTTATTGTGAATATGAGATTGAGCTGAAGAATGAATGCTGTATCAGATGTATCGGGTAATCACACTCGCTCAGTCCATCTGTCTCTCATAATACTCGACTCTACATAATACTCAGCTTTTAATACAGTAATACAATAAGCTTTCAATGAAGCAACTCAACGTTCCTTCATTACTATTTCTAAAGTGATGTTTTTGAATTAGTAACAGAGGCTTGAGCTCAGCTGTTAAACTGTCAAACTGAGATTTGAATCCATGGTGGAAGGAAGTAGTTTTGCACAAAAGCGGGTTTTTAAAGACTCTCCGTTGTTGTATCGTTTTTATTTATACACTCAAACTGTTGTATACACAATATCACACTCGTAGCCGTGCGATATGGCTATATATCAGCATGCTATGATTACCCGAGTCCTCGTGCCTACGGCCGTATCACAGCCATGCTGATATACAGCCATATCACACTGCAACTCGATATTGCTCATATATAAACTATTCAAACTATTTGAATTTATAATAATGATCTTTTAAGAATTATGTAATTTTTTACATGTTTGTTTCTGAAAAACAAAAGTTTTCAGCTCATTGCTGTACAGTTGGTAGTGTCTATGTTTTGGATGGATGCTAGGAACACTGTAAACAAATTCAAACCCCTCTAATTCAAAATTTCTAGTGACTTGTTGTACCAAAATTTTTCTATTGGTCTGTGAATTTTATCAATTGGGATTAAGCCTGGCTTATTTGGTTAACTTGTTTTATGACACAGGCCTCAAGGCATTAAAAGTGATCATATTTTCTCCATTGCATCGAATCGCATTGTGTTGAATTGAATCGAATCGAAAATGGATCGCACTGCATCGTAATAGTGGTGAATCGTATCGTATCGCATCGCATCGGTAGCTGCTTCGTATGTATCTTTAGTGTATTGTGTCGTTGGCTATGCATCGAGATGCGTATCAGTCTTGAGGAAAAAAATAATAGATAACGTTCATGCAACTGGCCCCAGGTTAGTTTATTGCATCAAATCGCATTGTGTTGAATCGAATCGAATCGAAAACGGATCGCAAAGCATCGTAATAGCGGTGAATCGTATCACATCGGTAGCTGCTTCATATGTATCTTTAATGTATCGTATCGTTGGCTATGCATCGAGATGCGTATCGTATCGGCCTGAGTCATGAGATGCACATCCCTAATATATATATATATATACAGTATATATATAAGAAAGGTACTAACTGACCAAGTAGTACTAATGATGCTCGCCTTAGCAAACTCTGCTAATAATGTGCGTTCATGCTATGCACATTATGCTTTATTTATGTTATGTATGTTACAATGTTCTTAGATTTCAGGTTTTACTTTCTGTTCCTGTGTCTGTGAAAGTGTGTGAATGCTCTGAGGGTTCTTCCTTGGCACCATTTCACAGTGAAACTGATCTGAGAAGAGCATCTGGGGCATTATCAGAGAGATCTGTTCTGCATCCTGGTCCCAGAACAGCGTTTGTGGCCCTTTCAGAGATCTGGGGCCCCTGGAGAGACTCATCTCAGAATGATTCCTCTCTCTTTCTCCATATGCCCACTACAGAATGATCCAACAAACTTTTTAAAGAGACTTATAAAAGTGTGTGAGAGAGAAAAAAAAAATGAAAGGGAGAAAGATTGCTATAGAGTTTACAGGGCATTGAGAAGTCTTTTTGAAATCGTATCTGTTGGCCGGCACAACATTTGTGAAATCCGAGTTTGTTTTGTGAATTGGGATGAGCAAGTGTATAAAGTACACTGCTTTTCTCAGTACACAGATGGTACGTGCTCGCAGGGTAATGGCACATGGCATGTGTAAGTGTGTGTGAGATAGTGACGATCATAGATTTGGCTCTATCAGGGTCGGCCACGTTCCAATCTCCGTGGAGACCCTAGAGTGATGACATCATTAGTGGGGGTGGTTCTAACATGTTCTATTTAAATGCAGACATGCTAATTGGCTTGGCAGAAGCTTCAGTCATCTCTCTGTTCCAGCCCCCTGTGACCGCCAAACTATTCAGACATCAGAGTTAACCACCTACACATGATGGCGTGCACCTCTCTTTCTCGTTTTACCTTTAATACACGGGCGGCAGGAGCGCCTCCAGAGATCTGGCAGATGTTTTCACCTGGTTCCCTGCTTGTTAACGCATAGGGAAGGTTTTTCTTTATATAGCATATCTTTTAAAAATGCAGGGAGAAAAAAAAAAAGTGTGCCGCTGTTTTATGATGCAGGTCAAAATGAGATGTCATGGGCAGTTTGTGTGGATGGACAGCCGGATCGGGTATTATGTGTCCCTTAGGGGTCATGGACTCTGCCATAGGGGTCCGGATAATCTGTGCATGCAGGAGGCAGAAGATGGGAGCGGGTGGGGGTGATTGTGCAGACGGGAAAAGGGATAACAATCCATCTCTGAGGTTTTAGGACATGGCTTTCGATATGTCTCTGACAATAATTCCTGAAATGGAAAGAGAGAGAGACTTTTTACTAACTCAAAGAAAATTCAGTACTGAAACCACCACACCATATATATATATATAGATTCACGATCGGGGCGCCTCCGACGTTCTACCGAGCAGATTCAGTCACTCTTAACACACCTCACACCACAGGAAAATCTGATAAGATAATCTTTAGAACCACCAAGATAATCGGGACATTACCTAGGATAGTCGAGAAGGGGAGAAATCGGCCCAAAATCAGCCCGATTATCTTGTGGTGTGTACCCATCTTAAAAGTGATCGAGGATGGATAATTTCTTGATGAACCTGTGATATCTTCTACAGGGCGAAAAAGGAAAATAAAAGCTGAAACGTTTTCACGGAACCTTGCAAAAGCAGCGCGTTACAATGGTGAGGGAAAAGCTCTGTGTATTGCGTGTAATCACATCCATACAGTTTATGATCACAGCAACAACAACATTTGTCAGGCATCTACATTGTCATCTGAGGAGATTACTAAGATTAAACGAGTGTTTTTTTTCAACTCTAAAACATGAAATGTGGAGTGATCTGCTTTTGCCAAAAAAAAACGACTGTTGGAGTTATCTGCTCACACAACTAATGCATTAACATTGATAAAGGTCAGTAGAAGCATATGGTGTCTTATCCACAGCCTTGCAACCCACCCCAAAGCATGTCTCAAGACCACAGACCTCCTTTAGTACCCTTTCTCCATGCTATCCTGACTAACCCTGAAGCTCAACCCATCTGTGGATCTCCCTGCCAGGCCATAGCATAACCCAGAGGCCCCTGGCACTGCCAGGTGGCACCCAATATGGCAGCCTCCTCCAGCCCACCCATTTGAGCCTCTGGGAATTCAGGCCACAATACTGAGAATGGCATATATCAGCAATCACATCAAGCTCCCAGGTTTGGCTTGTAATTGATACTTGTGTTCCAAATGATTTCGGACCATTTTTTTGGTGGTTGCCGTTTTATTTTAGTTTTTATTTATTGCTTGAGTGGTTCTCTGACTTTTTTGTTTTTTTTTGCTGAAAGCATGCAAGCAAGAAACAACCACAATAATGGTATATTTCAGAACAATATCCACAATTCTTGCTGCCCCCTCTCTGTTCGCATATTCAATCGCATTTTAATTGCGTCAGAGCATTCTTTCTGTTTCGTTCTCCCTCACGCATCTAAAATGACTGAAATTCACAGAAATAGAGGTAAGTGTTTTAACTTGAAATTTTGGTACCTGTTTGTCAAACACAAACGTTTTAACACCTCGGCATATGTTTCTTGGACACAGCCACATTGCTACTTCGAAAATCGCTATCCCAAGGCTCTAAGTCCAAATTTCCTTTGCATGCCTTAAGTAACTTTTAAAGGTTATATTACTTTCATAATAATGTGATTACACCCAAAACAAGTAGGTAAGCAAGTAAAAACATGACCAAACACACAACTAATGCATTAACATTGATAAAGGTCAGTAGAAGCATATGGTGTCTTATCCACAGCCTTGCAACCCACCCCAAAGCATGTCTCAAGACCACAGACCTCATTTAGTACCCTTTCTCCATGCTATCCTGACTAACCCTGAAGCTCGACCCATCTGTGGATCTCCCTGCCAGGCCATAGCATAACCCAGAACCCCCTGGCACTACCAGGTGGCACCCAATATGGCAGCCTCCTCCAGCCCACCCATTTGAGCCTCTGGGAATTCAGGCCACAATACTGAGAATGGCATATATCAGCAATCACATCAAGGTCCTAGTTTTGGCTTGTAATTGATACTTAGGTAACCGTAAGTGGGGGTTTCAAATGATTTCAGACCATTTTTTGTTGTTACCATTTTTATTTTGTTGCTTGATTGGTTCTCTGGCATTTTTTTGCTGAAAGCACACAAGCAAGAAACAACCACTATAATGGTATATTTCAGAACAATATCCACAATTCTTGTCGCCCCCACTCTGTTCGCATTTTAATTGCGTCAAAGCATTCTTTCTGTTTCTTTCTCCACACATCTAAAAAACATGTCTGTGTGAGGGTGTTGATTAGGAAGGTAAAAATACAACATGTAGGATTTTATGCTAATTAGCCTTTAAACCTTGCTCACGTCAGCGAGAGTTCATAATTAGCACGTTCGGAGGGAAGTGGCGAAAAGCTTGGGCGGCGAGATTGGCTGATCTGAATGAAATTAGTAGTGTGAAAATCAAGACGTTTAAATTTTTCCTCCTACCCACACCTGTTTGCTGAGAACGGGAGATGTTTTTCCGGTCTTAAAGACATTTTCTAAACATCTATTTGACATCTAATAGGAAACGTCCTGTAGACATATTGCAGATGAGCAAACACTCTAAAAAATACAGATGTAAATGCAGACGTCAAATAGACATCTCCGTGATGTACGTGTGCTATCAGGGTTGTCATGTTGTGCTAGTTAGTGTCTATTAATTAGCTATCGGCAATCATAACATACTTCTCAGAATCCTCAATATATTAACTTCAAACAGCTTCTTATTTCAAACATTCTCCTCACTCAAGATTTTCCAGGCATCTCATCACCAAGCATTTCACCCTGATTTATTTCACCCTGATTCTCCTGCAAGCCTGACTGGCTTGTGCTGTGTCTTGTCCTCTTGTTTGCTTGTTTCTTCAACACACCCTCCATAATTTCTTCTTGGTTTGCATGGAGGAAAATACACTGACTGATGTATTTAATGCTACACCATTTTTGTTCCAGCATTGCAAATTGTATTTAGCAGCTAATTAGCTATCGTCGAGAATGAAGCACACATGCCCACTCAGTATCTTGACATCAAATTTGACTTGTTGGTTCAAACATTTCCCTCATACAAGCAAAAAAGCCACTGACGCATACAGTTAGCAATGTCAACGTCAATTAGCACTAACTGTACTTAGCTGCTAATCGCTAGCTATATGCAGCCTTAATGTGTTTTTCAGTATTTTAGTGACAGCTTTGACACGTTAGTTTGAGAATTTCCTTAAATAAGCAAAGATTATTCCTTATATAAGCAAAGTAATTTTTTATTGCAGGTTTGAGAAATGTACCTGCCAGCTATTGGTTGGTCATGACCAACCATGATGTAATTGCACATTCAGTTTATTGACATTAAAATGTATTTATTTTGTTTTATTTTATTTTTTAAATTGGAACATCCTCTTACTTAATAAAAAAAAAAACTAAATATTCTTACTAGGTAATTTTTGTTGCTGTGTTATTAACTGTAACTAGCAGTGAATCACTAACCATATGTAACCATTGTGTAAAATATGGCACTCAGGGCAGCGAGAAAAAAAAAGACCTAGTGAGGTGTTTTTTTTTATGTTCTGTCATGCGCAAGACACAAAACACCAGCACAAAGGTCAAGTCAAAGGCATCCATATTGCGCATGTTTACATAAAAAAAAAATTCAGACCGAAACAATGAAAAAGCAGTACAATAATCTTTACAGCAATTTCTTGGTTTGAACATTTCTCTCTTTCAAGTAAATACTTTTGTGATTGACAGATTAAAGGATTTCATGCTAGGTGATTTTTCATGTTAGGTCAATGTACTAAGTAATGTTACGAAACGTACTTAGCAGCTAGTTATTAGTCTGCAATCATGATGTGCATTTTCACATTCATTAACTTGATGTCAAAAATGTGGCTTCTTGAGTCAAACATTCTTTTACAAGTGAATATGTTTCTGATCGATTGATTAATGGGTTTCACGTTAGGTTATTGTTATCGGTCTGCTGCGAACTTAGCAGTTAATCGGTAGTCATCTGCAACTATGACTTGCATTTTCACATTCCATATCTTGACGCGATTAAGCATTTTGTTTCGAATATTCTCTTCATATGGTGATATTAGATATTGAAGGACTACTATATTTGGGATTGAATGACTACTTCGTGCTTAGCAGCTAATTGTTAGCCATCTGCAGATACAATGTAGCCTACAATCTCACATTCAGTATCTTGCCATCAAATTCGGATTCTTAGTTCCAACTTTCTCCTCATACAAGTGAAGAATTTTTTTTTTCTGATTGACTGATTAAAGAGTTCCATGTTTGATCACTTTTGTCACTAATCATTAGTCATCTGTAACAATGACGTGTGTTCTCACATTCTGTATTATGACGTCAAGTTTGACTTCTTGGTTCGAATATTCTCTTACAAGTGAAGGCATCTGTGACTGAGTGAAGTATTTCATGCTAGGCTATATTTGTTCCCAGATAGCACGCATACGTCTAAAAGATGTCTGTTAAAGATCACTCCATCTGGAAAGCATCTGCTGTTTACAAACATCTGATAAACGTCTTTAAGATTACAGTTTGACATACATTCTAAATCATAAACGTCTTAAAGACATTTTCTAAACATCTATTTGACATCTAATAGGAAACGTCCTGTAGACATATTGCAGATGAGCAAACACTCTAAAAAAAAATACAGATGTAAATGCAGACGTCAAATAGACATCTCCGTGATGTACGTGTACTATCAGGGTTGTCATGTTGTGCTAGTTAGTGTCTATTCATTAGCTATCGGCAATCATAACATACTTCTCAGAATCCTCAATATATTAACTTCAAACAGCTTCTTATTTCAAACATTCTCCTCACTCAAGATTTTCCAGGCATCTCATCACCAAGCATTTCACCCTGATTTATTTCACCCTGATTCTCCTGCAAGCCTGACTGGCTTGTGCTGTGTCTTGTCCTCTTGTTGGATGTGAAGTGTCCACTCTGTCTCCAAGAGAACTGTGGTTAGGTGGAGTGTAGTCGGTGCCCAAGAGAGTTACAGTGTGGGCGAATGATGACTGTGGAGAGTATCTAAGCTCAATTTGAGTGAATTTTCTCTCTCTGTCTTGCCATCTCACTCTCTTTTTTTCTTCTTTTTTTCAGAGTGTTCTCTTTGTCCCCAGAGGAACCTAATGTTGGATATTTTACCGAACAGAATTGTGGGTTCCCATAGGGCCGGTCTGACAGTACACCCAGACAGGTGCAAATTAAAGAGGGAAGGACAATAACAGAGGTGAGAGAAAAAGAAAAAGAAAAAGAGAGAGACAATGAAAGCCTCAATAAAACATATGGAAAAAAAGATCCACCTACTCCAATACATCTAGTTATTACTGAAGACATTTTGTTCTGTGCTGTAGTTTCGTTCCTTTTAGTTCAATTTTACTTTACTAATTTGCAGCGCTGTGGTTTGCAAATGTGCATTTTGGTTTTATAGATTGCTTTTGCTGTTCGTCAGAGTGTCAGCCTGTAACAGGTGTTTATCTGTTGCTGATGCTGTTGTTTCTGGTCTTTATTTCGGGGAGAGCTGTTGTCTCGCCTGATCATTTGATTTAATTACAGGAGAGAACAGAGAAGCCTGTCGTAATTAGCTGATTTGAGAAAATGCTCTAATCCAAGCAGGTGCTTTCTGCCTGTGATAAACACACGCACTCATAAACCACTTGTTTTCTTTTCGATCTGATACAAAAATCTTATCTTTCTATCCTTGTGGAACTTGAGCACAGTTTCATATTATATTGAACTATAAGTACATTCTACAATCAATGCCTCCTCAACAGTGATCTCATCCAATGAGATTTTAGAGTGGGCGGGGCAACCTGGCCCAACCTCAAAGAAAAAAAAGAACAAAAGAAAACCCAATACATGTTTTTATTGCTTGTTTTCTTGTTGCGTTGAATTGACCTTTTATTATAATGATCAATGATAACATTCACTTACGTAATGATGCAATTGCTGGCTGGCAAAGGTTTCTGTTGGCACTTAGTATTGTAGATGATCCATTCATGTGTCCCATCCACAGTTGCTCATTTATACAGGTATATGGATTTTGGGGCTCCCAAATTCCGTATAGCCATGCAATTCCATTTAAGATGGATGAAGTTAGATGTGGCCTGAACAACCAGACTTTCAGCATTTGAGAGAAAAGAGAAGGTAACACTTTACATTAAGGTTAAATTAGTTAATGTTAGTTAATGTATTAACTAATATGAATGAACAATGAACAATAGATTTATTACAGTATTTATTCATCTTTGTTAATGTTAGTTAATGAAGATACAGTCGTTCATTGTTAGTTCATGTTAATTCACAGTGCATTAACTAATGTTTACAAGCAAAAATTTAAATAATGCATTAGTAAATGTTGAAATTAATGGTAACACTTTATTTGAAGGTGTCCTTGTTACACGTTACATGTACTTACTATATGGTTAGGGTTAGGATTAGGGTTTGGCTTAGGGTTACTTGCATGTAATTATGCATAATTACATGCAAGTAACCCTAAGCCAAACCCTAATCCTAACCCTAACCATATAGTAAGTACATGTAGTTAATTAATATTACTCAGTACTTAAATGTATAGTTGCACTGTAACAAGGACACCTTCAAATAAAGTGTAACCAAATTAACATTAGCTAAGATAAATAAATGCTGTAGAAGTATTGTTCATTCTTAGTTAATTTTAACTAATGTAGTTAACTAATGTTAACCAATGAACCTTATTGTAAAGTGTTACCAAAGAAAAATACATACACAACTGATTGCTAAAAAGTTAATGTTTTTCACTTCACTGGTTATAATACACATTAGTGAGAATTGATTCTCTTAAAACAGCATTAGCATAAAAATATCAATAAACTCCAGAGAAAATGTCCATAAAAAATGTGTAAACAACTGCATTTTTGCTTTCATTGTCTCTCTGTAAAGAATAACCTGTGTGTGTGTGCGTGCGTGCGTGCGTGCGTGCGTGCAAAAAATATCCAGAGAAAATATCCATAAGACGTGTAAACAATCTCATTGTCTCTCTGTAAAGAGTAACCTGTGTGTGTGTGTGTGTTTGTGTGAGGGTTACTTGGGGCCAGCAGGGAGCTATTTTATAGATTATCCATCTCCAGAAGCTTATGGTCCAATAACGCAGTCTACAGTAGCCCTGGGCTCGTGTACAATAGGAAGGGGAAATGGTGCCTGACGCGAACAGCCTGTTTCGCACCAGATTGAGGGGTCAGTAACGCAGCTTGAAAAAACCCTGTTTTACTGTATTGCACTTCTCCAGGGTGTGTGTGTGTGTATGTATGAGATTAAAAAATGTTTATTAACGAGCTGCAGTTTTAATACATCACGCGCTGGCACAGATGCAGTATATTAACGCCACGGGTCATTAATAAGGTGCAGATTGGTCCTCAATGTGTGTTTCCAACACACTTTTTCACTATATATAGGGAAAATATTGTATAATTTGACAATCTAGTTACATTTACAGCTTGTATTTATATTGGTTTTATTGTTTTTGTATTTTATTTATTTGTTTATTTTTAATTACGGTCATGTGATGTAACCATCAGGTAAAATGTATATATAATTTATTTTCCTTACACTTTGAATATGTAAGAGTGCACATTTTAATCATTATAAAAATAAGTATGTAAGTAAATAAATATTTAAAAAATATATTTTCAAAATAAATAATTATTTCCTAAATATCATTATATTTTTAACGCTGTACCACATGTAAAAGTGACAATAAAATATAATGCCAAACTAATGAAGATTTTCCTTACAAGAATATATATTTAGGAATTAATGTATTCAAATCACTGTATTTGACTTTTAAAAGTATTGTAACATCAATAAGGTGAAATGCTTATTCATTGAGCTACGGTTTATTCTATGGTTTACCGTTTATCACTACAGATTATAACATGCTTTAATAAGGTATTATGAATATTTTATAATGCACTGAGAATGCATTTATTTATTTAAAACAATTCTAATACGAGTATTTCTTCACTACATTAAAATAAACGTTCAAAGAGTGTGCGAGAGATTGAAAACAATGTAAAATGTATTTACTTTTTAAATAAGTTTGTGTGAGCTAGCAAGGATAAGAGTGTGTGTGTGTGTTGTGTGTGTGTGATGGATTGAAAGGGTCTATGAGAGGATAGACCCCCTGTAGGTATATTGATCTCCGCAGGTCTCTGCCTCTGGACCCCCCACAAGGGTCTTTTGACTGACTTCAGGAGTCCAGCTCCGGCTAACAAAGAGCACTACACCAACCCTAGACACACTGTGACTCTTTTACTGCCCCTGCTGCCCCCACACCAAGAACCCCCCCGCTGAGAGTTAAAAAGCCCCCCGCCACGCACTGACATTTCATTCAGCAGGAATTAGAGAGGTCTGAACTTCCCTACACTCGTGCGCACACATTTAGGACAGTATATTATTTCGCTCTATTACAAGGTGTAGTGTTTTACACTGCAGCACAGTGAAAACTCTTTCATGGTTTTATTATATCTGGGTTCTGTTTCATCTTTGTCATACTTTCAAATAGATATCATGCATTTATGGGATCATATTTTAACATCATAACAAAAAAACTAACAAACAAACAAACAATTGCCACAATTCTGTCTCTGAGCTCTTCAGGCAGTTCCTTTGACCTCATGATTCTCATTTGCTCTGACATGCACTGTGAGCTGTAAGGTCTTATATAGACAGGTGTGTGGCTTTCCTAATCTAGTCCAATCAGTATAATCAAACACAGTTGGACTCAAATGAAGGTGTAGAACCATTTCAAGGATGATCAGAAGAAATGGACAGTACCTGAGTTAAATATATGAGTGTCACTGCAAAGGGTCTGAATACTTAGGACCGTGTGATATTTCAGTTTTTCTTTTTTTAATAAATCTGCAAAAATGTCAACAATTCTGTGTTTTTCTGTCAATATGGGGTGCTGTGTGTACATTAATGAGGAAAAAAAATTAACTTAAATGATTTTAGCAAATGGCTGCAATATAACAAAGAGTGAAAAATGTAAGGGGGTCTGAATACTTTCCGTACCCACTGTATTTCTAAATAATAATATTAATAATTGTATTCTCATTATAATATTTAAATTATTTAAATGATTATAAAAAAAATTGCATCACATATTTTTACACGCACGCGCACACACACACACACACACACACACACACACACACACACACATATATATATATATATATATATATATACACATATATTATTGTCCACTTGACATCTGGCATCAAATCATTGAACATTTTATTTTATAATTTATAACATCATAATGCTACTATCTATATTATACACATTGCATGTTAATGTAATTACATATTACATATTAATGTAATTACATATACACATTTGGACTAACAATAACAAAAAAAATGCATATTAAATACATTTATTAGTATCACAACTACTTACTATAATGTCATGACATGATAATGAAAAAAAAAGACTAATGGGGGAAATTAAACTTACATTTTAATTAAAATTCATTTTTAATTTTAATTATTTAATTATTTTATCTGATAAACTACTTATTTTAACAGTTTTTAATTACATTACACTAGTTACATTGTCTAATTATTTTGAGTTTAGACATGCACTAAACACAGGAAGTGTGTTGTGTTGCTTTTCTCTTGCAACACTGTTAGAAAACACAGTATTGTATTTATAATGAGACAGTTGACATTTTTTGCAGGTAATTGTGAAGATAACATGCCTACATTATTTGTCACCTTTCAGATCACACATTACTATATGTGTTTTGGATGCATATTTGTGTGTGTATGTGTGTTATACACCCTCAGCTGACGCATATTTTTCTATGAGCGTTCTCCTCCGCTCGGTGTTACCATAGAAACAGTTATGAGTCCTATGTTTGGCAAAGTGTCAGTGAATCATCTGCTCTCTTCTGATTGGTCACCATTTCCTAAAAGTGATCCTTGCATGGCTGACAAACAAACTCTTTAATTGACTAATCAAAAGCAGCTTGGATAGAGATTTCAAGGATATGAACACATTTGAACACAGTCTTGCTTGTGTTTACTGAGCTTTAATGGTTTTTAAAGTTTCCACATCAATTATCTCCACTAATAGACAGTTACGGCCATATGGCAGCATGCTAATGAACAACTACTATTCCAAGAGCCCCAACAACCAATGATTTTATTAAAAATATTAACTTTACCCACACTTGAAATCTCGTAA